ATTCATTATCACATACATAAGTAATTACGTCTTGATTTATTTAGACGGAAAGAACATTAACGAACGAATTAAACTGTACACTTCCGCCAACAAAATTTATTATTGCAGTCACCAACAAGAGTTGCATAATTAATTCGAAGCAACTTATCACAACATTCTGATCGTAAATCAGTACTGCAAGTGGTTTAGTCTTAGAAAATAGAAAAAAATAACTTTATTTCTATTTGAACTGTATGTAGTGTAGTTATTATCCAGAATTACAAATTCACAGGGTCAATGTAGAGACCAACCTAGAATTTATATGCAATCTGAGTATAATTCGTATGTATACTTCTCGTATATACAGGGTGTTCCGTAAATATGTTAAAATATTTTAGCAGCGTCCTAGTTATTTTAGAGCGGGGGTCTTCCTGAGAATTTTTTAAGTTTTCTCTCATTTTTGAGATATTTGATCCCGAAAATGGCGAAAAATATTAGTTTTTGTTGTTTTTCTTTAAAACTGTTAAACGTGGAAACTTTAGTGTTGGTATACATTATCAGCTAATTGAGTGCTTTGTGCTGGTAGTGTTTTGTAGTTCAGTTTACTTTTATACAGGGTAGAAATGCGGAACTCCTACTTTAGTTTTGTGCAGAACTTTTTTGTGTGCATCTAAACTTTTATCAGCATATTTTTTTTAATTGCTACAAGTTATTTATCAACTTTTTTATCCCTTATTGCGTTTTCCTAAGAGCACTAGTTAGCCCGCAAAAAAATTAAGAAGCTCCTATAAACTCGCCTCCCAGTTCTCCGGATCTAAACGCGCTTGATTTTTGACTCTGGAGCCACTTAGAAAATACCGTGTTAAAAACTTCAGGAAAGAATATCTAATATTTCTAATGAAATAAAAACTTCAGTGCAAACTTTACGGTCTGTAAATGTTTAATTTAATTAAAAGACTGCCATTATGCCTAGAATGTCAAGGTGACCAATTTTAACAGCTGCTAAGTTAACATTAGAATGGTTATTTAAATTTAATTTTGTTTGTTTATATCGTTGCGCATATGGTTACCATGTTATTATTTAAGTAAAATTTATTCAAACTTAATAAATTTAATCGGAAGCAAAATACACAAGTTGTTAATTTAATATAACAATAAATTATAAACAACAATTTAGGTTGTTAATAATCAACTAATGATGCGTACCAAAATTATGATATGAAAACGTTATTAGACTTAAAAAAATAAATTCATTACTTACACATTTTGAGAACGACAATGAAGACTATTTTCGTGTTTTCGGGCAAACTAGTGGGCAAAAATAATAAGAGATAAAAATGTTGGTCAATAACTTGTAGTAGTTAACAAAATTATGCGAGAAAAGTTTGAGTGCCCACAAAAAAGTTCTAAACAAAACAAAACAAAAGTAGGGGTTCCACATTTCTACCCTGCATAAAAGCGAACTGAACCACGAAACACTATCATAAAATGGCACTCCATTAGCTTATAATGTATACCAAAATTGAAGTTTCTATGTTTACCCGTTTTAAAGGAAAACAACAAAAACTATTATTTTTCGCCATTGTGGAAATCAAATATCTGAACAACGAAACCTCAAATTAAAAAAAATCTCAGGTGGACCCCCCCCTAAAATGACTAGAAGAACACGCTGTTAAAATATTTTAACATATTTACGAAACACCCTGTATAGGCAACCTACTGATACAGAAAGAAAACCTTCCAAATTGAAACATGCCCAAAGTAAAGTTAATTTGAAACGGTTCTCCTGGAACAGAGGTCATGCTATTGCAATATTCTGATTCATACACATTAATAAAGATCGTACATCTAGAAACTTTTATCATGCCTCATAAAACACTAAAATTCATTTAAATTTAATTTTCGAACTTTCCTAACGCTCGCTGCTTTTCTTGTGCGCTGGAAAACTCCTGGAACTTTCTAATGATGACATTAACAAACGAGGTGTAAGCATGTCGCATGCAGAATGGCGGGCAAAAATGTTATTTGCCATTCCCCATATTTCAGCAGATGCACATCCACAAATACATTAGTCAGAGTTTTGCTGGGATATGTCTATTTCAGGACAGAACTCCACTGGATGGGTTGCTTATGTGAACGAATTGAAACAAATGATTCTGCACTAGCACAAAAGATAGATCCATTTTTCTTTCTAACCAAATATGCCGACAGATTCGTGGTTGCCAACTTTATGAATAGTATGTGCAGAATAATATTGTTTGGTCACAGTATTAAAGTGGGTTTACACTAGCAGTGCCCCAACGATCAATTACGAGCTGTAAATTAGTGGCCGCATTCCATTATGCTCGTAATTCCCTTTTAACAAAGCTCAATCCCAGATTTTCACAGGTGACCGACAAAACTTTGCTTATAAATTATTCCCCTGTCGTGAATTTCGAACATGTTCGAGGACTTTCCTCGTTGATTATTTCCATAGTAATTACTGTCGATTCGACACATGACCCAAATCCCTACTACATGCGATCTCATGCTTTGATTTAATAATAATCTGACGTGACTTTTCTAATCAACGCAGGTGATTTCTTAATTTAATTATTACATGATTTCCTGTGATGTTCAAATGTTTTAATTTGCATGATTAGGCTGCTAGTGTAATTAGCTAGATTGTTTGTTGTCCTGTTTTGTTATTTATATGTCCTAGTCACGGCTTAAAATGTCCCTACAAAAGTCAGCACCTCACATGCGATGTTAAGACGACTTCCTTATAGAGAGCCCTTGGTTCAAGTACATTTATAAATCTCCAACACAAAACATATCGGACTCCGAAACCAATTAAGAGGTTGCGCTTTATTTTCAGATGCCGTTTTCACTTTGGTCCCTACATAACAGTAAAATAACGACAATTTCTGCGCTCTAATTTTGCAACTGCTGGCTGTTATCTGAACGTAAAGGAAACAGTAAAGGCAAATTCAAAAGTACCGAATACAAAGAAAATGCATTCTAACCCTCCGGTAATGTTACATAATTTCCTCTTTTGCCAAAAGTTCGGCGTTATCTGAGCCAACCCCGTTCAGTTAATAACGCGACAAAAAACAACCGAGATTTCGTGTTATTAAAGCCCCTACATTTTTATTCGCGTCCTTAAATGTAAAAAGGGACAAATACTTGCGTAACTGATGGTCATCTCTGGGCACTAAGACAATAAACCCATAATATGATACCGAATGAAACAATGACCGTTATGTATGTCAGATAATGTACACATTGCTTTCGTGACATTACTGGTTATTAGGCCGATGCTTTGTTGGAATGAAGGCAATCATTAGATAATTAAAGTTTTATATGCAATGTTTTGTCAATTTAAATTAATTTCCGGAAAATAAAACTGGAAATTTTCGTATTTTAGGAGACTTAATATATTTTTTTCCATATTCAGCGAGCTCCTGCTGCTTCAAAATTTGCATTTCTGCTGCAGCTTCTAGTGAATAGTTCCATTAAGCAAAAATATGTGTAGCAATGTATTATTTCAATAGATTCGCTTTCTATTTGTAGATTAAATCGTTGCAATTTTTTACTTCCACTCTTGACTGATTTATTACTCGACTTATTACAATACTCGGCTTGATTTTTCTTACTTTTGAGCGTCCTGTCCTGAAACGAAATAACTGTTCCGTTCCGGTTTCGGTTCAAGGGAAAATTTAAAATTTTGGTTCCGTTACGGTTCCGGTTTAGAAAATAATTTCCAATTCGGTTCCGTTCCGGTTCCGGTTTTGTTTTCGGTTCATTTCGGTTCCAAAATCTATATACAGGGTGATTCAAAATTGACGTCATTCCTTTTAAGGGGTGATAGAGGCTCCCTTGGGGAGTACGAGAAAAATATTGAAAATTTTTAGAAGGTATTAACAGTTGAAGATCGAATTTCAACTTTGTTATTAAGCATTATTTTGAAATGGTTCCATGTTTAATTGGTTTAATTGGTAGCATAAGAAAAATTACGATCTTTGCTTCAAATTACGAAACTTTTTGATATCAAAAAAGTTCTCTTCTACACTTTTTTGATCAAAAGGCACGGCGGCAATGATTTTCTTTTGTCATTAACAGATAGTTACAGGTAGACCTTGTCAATCTTAACAATAATTTGTCAAACTGTGACTTACTTTGAATTTCCTTTCACGAATTTGCGGATATGCGATTAGTTCTGGTATGCTACAGTAAGGAGGCTTCAGGATATGCTACAGTAAGATAGCAGAACCTGAAAGAACTCAAGCCAACAAAGGGCGAGGAGAGTGGTTCCAGGAAGATAGTGGACCATAGATGTGCGGGTTCCAGGCACAGAGGAACAAGTATTGGACATAACCGAATCAGGGCCTTCCAGGGGTACTCAGAGCACAATGTGGGTGTTTATTTATAAACACCCATATTCGAGGTTATGGGAACAGGTTGACATTTCGTCAACAAATCTTGTTGAATTTACCGTTTATCCTTGTCTATCTTACTGTCAGTCTGTTATTCTATGGTTACCGGAGTTTCAAATAAGTACGAAGCCACAGGTATTTGCGCAATGTTAATTAGGCAGATTACCTTGAAAAACATTGCTGCCGTATTTCTGATATAGTTTTTTGCAAATTTCTCAGTTTTTAATCACAATTAATTCATTTTACTATTTTCTCTGTACTCCTATAACAGCGCCAGACAACACCTCCATACGAATGACGCCAATTTTGAGTCACCCTGTATAACATCGAACGAGGACAAAGATACCCTAATTATTAATCTCACTATCTTTTTCCTTGCTGGTTGTATTATACAAGATAAAAGATGTGCAAACAATCCACTGCTTCATACGGTACTTCGGCTGGTTGTATGGTAGGGGGTAGGAGTGTAGGAGGACTAGCAACCCCACACAAGGATTCAAATTCAGGTAACATTAAATGGAACAACATTGCAATAAAGACTCCCATACAAAAATTAATTTAATCGTTGTATTTTTGAAAAGTAATTTGTCAATAATTTTTTTCACTTTGGCGCTTTTCTCTTCCTTCCGTTTTCACTCAGGTCCACAACTTCGTCAATTCTTTTTCTTTCATTTTTATTTCCGTTTAAACATTGTTCTTCCTGGTTCATGTTTCTTTGTTGGTGATCGAAAAACTAAAATAATTCAACTTAAAAAAGAATTTTAAAAATAGTTTATAAACGTACGGTGTTTGTTCTTTTCCATTTAAAAATCGGTTGGTCCTCATAAATAATTGTTCCTCTAAAATTTTTTCTTCTCAGCAGCGTCCAGAGAAATATATTTTTTAATGCATTCAGCTGACAGAGATTCCTGTTTGTTTTTGGTTCTTTGTTGTGCCAACGCAGCTTGTAAAGGTTTCAATATTTTTTAAATCCTGAATCATCCGTTAAAGTGAATCGTCGTCGATTTACAGTTACTAATTCCACACATGCATCAATTAGATGTTTCTATGTTATATCCACTTTAATGGTATTCATATCACTTAAAGATGGTTGAGTTGATGGTCCTTTTGTGTTTGTCTCTACTTCAAATTGATTTTCGGCAAAATTATGTGATCGAACAAAGTGCTTCTTTAAATTTGTGGAGTGATGACCTTAGATAATAGATACAGTTCAATTCACAAACAAGGACGATATTTAGAATTCCTATAAATTAAGAAAGTTTTAATAAATTTATTATTAAAGAAAGACAGAAACTAATTATTAAAAAAAGACATTCTGTAGACACTGAATTATAAGACCAAATAAAGAACATGAGGTTCAACGTTTTAGTCTGATATTTCAGTAACATCAGACGTCCGTATTTTTGTGCGTTAATATAGAAGTTCTAGATATCACGTGATTTTCCGAGACGAGCGCAGGTTTTTTCTTTTTAATTAATTGAGTTTATTGTTTTGACATATAAAGTGACATATACAGGGTGATTCAAAATTGGCGTCATTCCTCTGGAGGTGTTGTCTGGCGCTGTTATAGGAGTACAGAAAAAATAATAAAAGAAATTAATTGTTATTAAAGTCTGAGAAATTTGCAAAAAACTATATCAGAAATACGGCAGCAATGTTTTTCAAGGTAATCTGCCTAATTAAGATTGCGCAAATACCTGTGGCTTCGTAATTATTTAAAACTCCGGTAACCAGACTGACAATAAGATAGACAAGGATAAACGGTAAATTCAACAAGATTTGTTGACGAAATGCCAACCTGTTCTCATAACCTCGAATATTGGTGTTCAAATTGGCAAACAAAAAACGATTCCGTTCCGGTTTTGGACCCATATCGGTTCCCCTCCGGGTCCCTGCTGTGGAGGATATTATCCGCCAGGAAAAAGGTATCATCTGCGTTACAAAATTACTTCCTCACATTTTCATGCTGAGTATATGTTATTTGACTGGGCCTTTACGTTGTCTTCTTTTGGTTCTTTTGCAGTTTCCGTCATCTTACCGTTGAACATCTGTAGTGCTCCTAAGTCAAAGGTTTTGGAGTAATGATGATTAACCAAATTCTAAAATCCATTTCCTAGGTCTCTATCTGTTTTTATTTGAAATAAGTTTACTGTGTTTGCTAACTTTTTAAAAAGGTTTTTTTTGTAGATGTATCTAAATTTTTTCGCTGTTTTGTTTATTCTTCTTGAAATTGATTTGTGGCCATTTCCTTTAGCTTTAGTTGCCTCTTTGGTGATAGTGACTTCCTATTTTATTGATTTGCCATATTATTTTTTCTTGCCTATTTTTTTTGCTCTTTTGATACTGTCTTGATTCTTTTTTACTCTCGCTCTATCCCGGATATCACTTTGTAACTAGCTGTAGTATCTTTCGTTCTCAAGGGCAATGTTTAGCGGTTGCAAATTGTTATTGATGCTTTCTGTGATTTTACTTACTACACTTTTTATAGTGGGCTTTAGTTGAGTAAACTCTTAGTTAAGGAATAAGTGGAACGTTGTCAGTCCCTGGCTATGTTTTAAACGCAGTTCTTACACATCGGAATTGTTTAATCATCGTTTTGAATTATATCTGGTTTCTATCTACGTTTTCTTTCCAATTCCGCATTTCAGGTTTTCCTTCGGAATTCCGTAGTAGTTTTACAACCACTATTCCTATTTCACAACGTCAATTCCCACAAACTTTTCAGCCTTCATCATTCATTTTTTTAACTTCATCCAGTACTTTCATATGTAGGAACAAAAATTTGAACGACGTTTAAATCTGCAGGATACGCGATAATCTCGATTAACATACATCGTTCTCAATTATTACATTAGAAATAAAACAAAGTTGTTAAAAGCACACGTAGAATAAAACGTAGAATAAGGTCGAGGGAGAAGAAGAACACGTAGTAGAATGTTTTACATAGATTCTAGAAGAATATCTGTGAATCCATCTAATGTTGAATAATTTTGACTGAATTGAAACGTGTTGTTGCGAACTATTAAGAAATTCCGTAGGTACTGATGGTTTTTGGATGGTAGCAGTAATAATTTCCAGCTAATTGGTTTCAAACTAATAAAGTTTCATCTGTTCGATGCAACTTATAATTAGTCGAAGCTTTTCAAATCCTGGGCGAAACAATCTTTCTTTTAAACTGTTCGCCGAAGTTTAATGGCAAAGTTCTTGTTGTTTAACCTTCTAACCGGCCATTAAAAATTAAGTTAGGATTACATCAAATTGATTTTTAATACACTGAACTTTCCAAGTTTTCGATCAAATTTGAATTAAATATGAATCAATAATTTAGTAATGGCTTTGATAGATTCGCTTGCTAGTGACGCGCTGATAACTACTTACAGTTAGGTTGAAAACTTAAATAAGTGTTTATTTAGTAGCAGAAGTAGGTTTTTGCGGTTGCGATTTGCAAGAATACTTCATTAAATTTAGTTTCTATTACATTAAGATCAGATTTGCATATTTGTAAGTTGAAACCAATAAAATTTTCCAAGTTTTCTCAGTGGAATGGAGTGGAATATGTGTCTTTTGTCTTGGATGAGATTCGATTTTTTCAATTGAATTTTTAGGTACCTGTACATTTAGGAGCGCAATTTCGAATCAGGAGCTATGTAAAATTCTAGACAATCAACGGAAAGTCCGAATTTATAAAATGCTGTACTTTTACAGATGAATGAATGAATGAACATCTAAATGTGAACCTCGTATCTGCTCGAGATTGGAAATTGGAAATTTTTCGAAACAGACTCGCACTAAATTGGGTCACGCTCGCTTCTAATAGGATGTTTTTAAAATTTTATAAAATCAGTGGACGTCGGAATTGATTAAATAATTGACAAAGTCTGCGCTCCAAACCATCCCCACCGTGTATTTCAGTTCCATCAGTCAGAAGGAATAATCTGTTTTTTTTTATTCGGTATGCACAATTAGACTGGCCATTATCGAGAATATTGAAAAATCAGATTCGGTAAAATTCATATTATGCTGCATAAGTCCCAACAAACTTCATTTATACGTTCGTTCCATTAAAGTCATTATTTCGAAACTTGAGAGATGCTTAATAACGGGTTTCGGCTTGTTCTATTTAACCAGTTCCAGCTTCGAGTTTGGAAAGTTTAATAACAAGTCGGGAAGTTACGATGTGCGAAGAAAGCAAATGCACTGAGACTGCAAGACTGCCTGCCTTTAAGGTGCATGTTTATTGTGGAGTTGTTTGCAAATATTTGCTTCGGAAAATCTAATTTATGTGACAATTTAACAATAAATATTTAATTTTCTGATGTCAGCAATTAAGAACTGCATGGAAACGTAAGTTTGTTTAATGTGATTTATACATTATGCACTAAAGCTCAAAAGGTTAGCAGATATAGTAAAATTAAGTGAAATTTTTTATGAATCATTCAATATTCCTATTGTCTGACATGTAATAGCAATCCTATCGCTGAACTTAAAATACTCAGATCTAATGTTTTTATAAATCAGGTCATAGGAACAACGCTTTGTAAGTTTCATTTATTTCTATGAAATAACGGCGTATTCTGCTGGTTTTTTAAATCCACGTGATGTGCTCATTTGAGTCTATCTCTGCACTCCATATCCGTGGAAATTGCAAACTAGTTGTTTAACTTTAACCCACACAACAACTCCAACAAAGTGTACTACAATAATCCACTTGATGGTTTGCAGTTCTACAACTATAATTGATGCCGAATGTAGTTCAGCCTGTATATGCAATTAATTCCAGTTCTGCTTCTAGTATGCGGTTGATTTATAGATTTATCTTGTACTCTGTATCAGATTACTGTATACTGTTACGATATCGGAGAAGCTGGAATTGTTATTTCAAGAAAGTTGGGCAATTAGAAGTTGTTTCATGTAATTAAAGCGTCACTGTTTTGCTTTGTATTACATTAATGAATGACAGAGAAGGACTTTTCTAATTATATCTAACATCCAAAATGCTAAGTTAAGGTATTGTACTTTGGGTGGTGCGCAGATAGCAGAACAGAAAAATGGCAAAGAATTACTTGGAATTTACTATAAATAAAGTCAGCGAATGCATATGAATATTTAAAGTCCAGTCAGGCAACAAAGAAACACAAATTAATTACACACAATAAAAAGTTTATTAACTTTACATTCAGAAAATAATAATACTTAATGTTTCGTGACTTAATGTATCGTTTTTCCCATCGGCAGCAATTTATAACTTATACAGTAGTTAGCAGGAAAACATAAATATTACAAAGTTTCGTGTAATGATAAGTAAAAAGTTTTTGGGCATCAACAAACTAGACACCGAATCGGCAATAAATACATTTTTATTCGAATGAATCTAAAAGTGCCATTTTTCGATCAGAAGCGATGATCAAAAAGAAGCACTCTTCTTTACTGTTCATTTGTTTTACTTTTACACACATGTGCGTAAAAGTAAATCCAGCAAATTGAACGTGTCTCTGTCATAAAAAAAATTAAAGTATTTTTATCAAAAAGTAAACGACAGGCGTTTTTAATGAATTACGTAGGTTTATAGACAACTATTGATCATAATTTAAAGTTTACTTACAATTTGTAAATTATAACTTTGTTACAAGTTCGGTCTCAAAGTAATTCAAATGGTCTATTTTTTCCACTCACCGATGTTGCCACAAGCAAAACACGATTTTTCTAAAGATCGTAAATTTTATGCAAAATATGCATTTTATACAAACACCATACCGTGAAAGCAATAGCAAAAGTACGGTTTCGAAAAATTACAAACGTCAAAACATGACAATTTCAAAAATGGCATTGACATCAAATGTTAAGTATGAAGTTGACTGCTTTTATTTTTGGATATTTTTACTTATTATAAATTATTATTTGTGTTATGTCCTTTATTCGAATAAAAAACGTTGTTCGATACGAGGACGAAAATCCGTTTTTAGAACTCCTGACGGATTGGCACCCTGAACATCGTCACCGGTGTCAAACGCCGTCGTCGTTCGAAAAACGACGAAGAGTCGTTTTTCGAACGACTCTTGTATTGAAAACTACTATTTAGAACGTACCCTGTCCAAAGCACGAACTCCACGTTTTCATTTTGTCTGGTCATCATCATTTTGGCAGCTGATTCAATAAGTTCCCACGTAGAATCGCAGCTATAATCACCATATTGACTTAATGGTCCTCTCTGACCTCTTGCGTTGGAACTTCCATCATAACTCGGTCTCCAGCAACCTGTAATATGTAGAAAAAAAGTTGTTGTACAATGATTAAAACTGCAAAGAATAGTGAAAATGAAGAGTAATTTTAATTAAATGAAAACAGATTTAATACAAAATAAAATGTTTTAAATCTATTTGCATAAGTCATATTTTGCCTGCCAGGACATCTAAATAATAACGTTAAAAAGATTATATTGCAATTTGAAAGAAATCAAGATTAGCCAAAGACTTGCGATTAAAAAACCGTAATTGTTATTGACCTTAGTTCTCGCTGGTTCGAACTTCCAATTACTTAAAACAAGGTGGTAATTAGATTTTGCCACATTAGCACTGCACTCTTACTGCGATTTTTATTATATTTCTATTTTATTTTTAGATTGTCTTTCAACAATGTTCTAATTTCATTCACCCATTATAGTTTATTAATTAGCGGCTAAATTTAAATAGGTCTTCAACATCCCCATCAATTTCCATCAGTACACGAATGGCTAATATTCCACAGGTATGGGGGAATATATTCCCATCGGTAATGAGCTATGAGTAATGGCTAATTCCATCAGCTCGAAATTGACAATTCACATTTTCCCTTATATTGCCTAATCCGCGGTATAGAAAGGCGAATAGGACAGACAGTGAAATTGTTAGAAATTGTGATGATTTGAATGGAAAACTCATTAAAACGGTTCAAATTTAAATCGTATTTACAAAGCTGAAGCGGGGTTGATGAATTGCTTGTTTTCGATTATAACGACAAATCGAGGCCAGATTTTCCAATTTTGTAATTACTTCAATTTTGTGTTGGGTCCCATTATTTTGAGATTATTATTAAAAAAATGGTACAGAAATTAATATAAACTTGCAAATTATATGAATACTTGTGGATTGAGTATCTCTTTTTTGGAAACGGGAAACAAAAACATATTCTGCGACATTAAAAAAAAAATGGTTTCCATTTAATCAGATCAGGTAAATTCAAAACTGTTCTCAGGTTTAAAATGCAATTTGTATTAAAGGTTTTAAGAAAAGAAAGAAATAATAATGAATTTCAAAATGAAACGAGGAAGTCAAACTGTTCAACCATATAACACGACTTGCTAACATACGAAGACTTATTCCTAGATTTTACATTTTAAGACATATTTTTTAGCAGAAAAATCCTGCTAATTGTTTACAGAGCGTTGGTGGACTCCCTGATGAGATATGGAATTATTGTCTGGGGTGGCCTGTATGATAATTCTTTTAAACAGTTGAAAGTGGTTCAGAATTGGTTATATTTGGAAAGACTTAAAGGGCTGTAGAACAATATTCTACAGCCTTTTTGTATTCTGAGGATGCTCCAAATGGTAGAACTTTGTACATCTACACTATATGCCTATATGTGTACAAAGACATCCTCTATTGAAACAGTTAATCACCTCTATAACACCAGATGCAACGTCAATAAGCATCTTATTATACCAAATAATAACGTAAGATTTTTTAATTACCTAGCGCCTAAGTTCTATAATGTGTTAGCTATTAAGGTTAGAATGATTCCTAAAAAATAATTTTAGGCAAATATGTTTAAATTTTATATTTTAGAAATTAAATTGTTTTCTGGTACATTTGTAATTGTGTGTATTGACTCTTTGATGCGGATGTTGCTGAATTTGGTTACTTATACTTCAGCTTTTGAATTAATGATGATATTAGCTGCACATACAGATATTTATGTCTAGGTGCAGCAAAAACGTGCTATTTAAGCTCGTTATTGTACAGAATATGTAATGTACAGGGTTATTGATTGAACTTTGGACACCCCGTTTTGGCATCTAATTTGAAATTTAGAGGAAAATGTTAAATACAAAAATTGTAGGTATTAACGTCTAGTTTATTTTAAGATAACACCAATTGATACAGGGTGTCTCAAATTCAAGTGGCAGACAAAACTAACCTTTTTTTAAATGGAATGCCGTACTTTTTATTGCATATTTGAACTATTCGCACAATTCTAGGCCTATTTGATATAAATATTCTCTAATGATTTTCTACTGTTTTTGAGTAAATAACCAATATTGGTTGAACTTTGGCCTCCCCCTCTTTGCATCCAATTTGAAATTCGGAGAAAAATGTTAAATACAAAAGGTATTAACGTCCAGTTTATTTTAAGATAATACAAATTGATACAGGGTGTCTCAAATTCAAGTAGCAGACCAAACTTGCCTTTTTTTAAATGAAATACGGTACTTTTTATTGTATATTCGAACTATACGCAAAATTTCAGTTCTCTTGAATATACATTTTCCAAATTTGAGTTAATATTTTGAGTTAATTTGATTTTTTGAGTTAATAACCATGTAAATATTCGGGCACTTGAATTTGAGACAGCCTGCATCAATTGGTATTATCTTAAAATAAACTAGCCGTTAAAATCCACAACTTTTGTATTTAAAATTTTTCTCTAAATTTCAAATTAGATGCAAAAACGGGTTGGACAAAGTTCAATCAAGAACCCTGTACATCTATTCCCGTAATTAATCATTCAGTATATATATATTATACTTATATATAGGGATTTTTTAGGTGCAGAATTCGCCGTGAACACTTTAAAAATCCATGATACAAATGTTGATTCTCAAAGTTTGGAAAATTGTTTGAATAAACTTTAATAGGAATAGCACCGAAAAAATATTAAGTATATCGAAGTAACATTCACCTTCGCCTAAAACCCATAGGGTGAAATTTAAAATGTACTATTACACTTTTTTCCAATTCTCCTGAAACCGGTAGGAAAGGTAAACTAAGTTGCCAGCCTAGAATGAGCTTCTCTTAAAGTGTTCTAAAACTTTACCCATTTATCCGATGTTGCTAGCCGATGTTTTTCCAATAACGAAAATGGCTGTAGTGGGACTATGAAATGATACATTCTGTATAATAACGTTTTTACTGACTTCAACGTCGAACAGAAAGTTTCATAAGAAAGAATATGTAGCTCAGTTAAAGTATTGAAAATATCGAGAAACCGCAAGATTCGTCCTGTTTTTGGAAAGTTCACTCTAGCTTTCCGATGTGTTTTCGCAACATTAATTAATAATGATCAATGAAAGGCTTTCGGCATCATCGGAGCCATCGTGAGCTTTTGAAATAAACAAGTACAGATTTCGAAATGCGCGGTAAATAGTGGAATAGTGGAAACTAGTTGTTGTAGGCACGCCGATGTAAATACATAGGCATTATAAAGTGCAGGTTTCGGAATCGCTAATTTCTGGCTGAACCCAGCTGACAAGAGCTAATAGGCTCACAACCGGTCTTGAGGGTGCCTGAGGTTGGCGCATTTCGAAATCTACACTTGCCTATTTCATTTATTAATAATGTTTGGCAGTAAAGGGTACTAAATACTATTCTTACCTTTCTTTACATCTTGGTAGGAATTGAAGTGTCCATCATAGTGAATATCCGTTATATGCCAGAAGTAAGCTGAAACAAAATAAAGTGTCACTCACTTCAATTAATCGACGTAATTATGAATTAAATGTAATATAGTGTTAGTGTTTCATCCTCAGTTCTATAGCTCTGAATTGATGTAAACTGGCCATCTTGACACTTGCTTACTTTTTCAGATAGTCGAGTTTTTGCTGCAACTTTTTTATGGAAGCTTCAACCTACAGCAGCACGGATGGATGAAACCCTCTTCAAATTACTGGTAGGTGTAGCTGAACATTAAGCACTTTTAATATTTAATTGGGACGTGATCAGTTATCTTGCTTAATTGTTAATCAGCTAATGGCTTTACTAAGAAATCTGCGAAATAAAATCGCTTTCACGGCTTTTAAGTATTAAAAATGGAATAAAGACTTCGATTAAAGTAGCTTAAGTCATATTTGGTTCCGAGTTCAAGAAGCATTTGTTAAATTGTATGTTAGGTAATAAATCGGAGTGGTTGACTTTGGTACATAATAATGTTGAAGACATTTCAAACTTTTTTAAAGATTTCAGCTGATTCAGAACTTTCGATGAATGTATATAAAAATGCACAGTAATAGAGCTATTTGGCAAATATTTAAAAATTCCGCTTTGAAGATCCCAAACGCCTGGGATAAATGAAATAATGTCATCCACCTGGAGATGAGATAAAAACTTTAAATTACTTTTTGGCTAATTACGCTGACAGAACGAACGAGATAAGCCTTGTGTGGTGTTTTCCCAATAGGAAAACCCATTAGTTAAATATGGGGCATGGTTCAGCTAGAACTCCAGTCTGGGAAAGTATACACATATTTTAACTAGCCCCGTCATTTTGTTGAGTATATTCCGTTGTATACATTAATTAAACGAGTCTTAAAGCGAAGAGCAAAACCAGGTTCCATTTGATTCCGAAAATCTAATTTTAACCCCAAATTTCCCTTCATAAGTATCATAATACATCCCTGTAAGCATCATAATACAGGCAAAGTTTATTCAGTTAAACTGATGAAAATGCACCAAAGGGAATGTAAACAGTAGGCCAAATAGACAATGTCTCCTTGGAGATGTTCACCAATATTATCCAACTGCTATTTGATAGGTTCAATTAGAATTTTTTTTTCGGCCTAACCGAAGGACTAAAATATCTGCATTTTCTGATATTTATTTATCGTAAACGTTGTCGGGATTTATGCGAAGACCCTAATTTTCAATTATTTTCTACATAATTATTATGATTTTATAATTTTATCAATTGCAAGTCCTCTTACCACGAACATTCCACTTCAGTTGTTGTCATTGAAGCATTCAGCTAGATTGTAGCATTTGATAAATGAGCAGACATTTGCATAGAAATGGTAAACACTTCTTGTTAGAATCCTTATTCCGAACGCAAAGAAATAAATTCTGGATAAGGAACGCAGGAAGTATGACATAAACCATCTAGCAATTGATTAAAATGTTGCCTCCCTTAAATGAAAATTCGCACCGTTTAAAAATTTACCCCATTATTTCGGGAGAGCTAACTCGCGCCGCACACAGGCAATGCATAATTCAGCAAATAACAAAACGTTTATCTTAGCGTTCTTCTCAGAACTCGGGCAATTTTATCTACTTAGTAAAATAGGTTCGGTATTTTTATTGCAGCGCACATTTTCGCCGTTTTGTTCTTACTTAAAATTTATGAGCTGTATGAGATGAGCGAAAATGCAACGTGAATAAATAAGTGAACATTGGCTGGCTCAGAAATGTCTTTCAACTCTTTGACTTCAAGAGTGTGTTACACTCCAAAGGTAAATTAATAATAACTTTCGAATAAACACGGGCTAAAATGTTGACTATCTTCGAAGTTGTAGTGCAGTAGAGAGTTATACTGTTTGGACAGATGAGTTTTCGCACTTGCTTCCTTAAAGGAAACATGTTTATCTTTAAATATTGCTCAAATATGGACGACGGATTTAAATGCGTATTCATTACTCTCCTTTGCTGGAAGCCGATGAAAGTGTTTGTCTTTTGCAGTATTTGCTAGCGACTATTTACTATCTATTAACATAAACTTGTGCATATTCTATAGAGGAGATTGTGTGCTAGGAATGTTTTCTCAGTTCTCCCGTTGATCTTCATTTTGAAAAAAACCGAATTTCCTATTTTGTAGTATATCAAATTGGTAAATAGGATAAATTAGCGGCGTATACAGTGGTTGAGTTCATTGAAGGTAAAGCATTATTTATAGAAGGTTCCAGATCAGATGTATAAAATGGTCGGAAAAGGTCAAAAGGGATTTCCCGAGAGCGGTCGGCCACAACAACGAACACTCAACAGGAAAACGTTGTTTTCTCCTAAAAAAGTCGAAATTTATTGGATGTATGTTTCCCATTGTATCTTTCGATCATTTTTTTTAAATGACTCCGTTACCCAATCTCCCAGTAATTGCATTTTAATGACACGGATGATAGCGTACACTACTTCTAGAGTTTGTTTTAACCTACTTATTCTACTTTCGTGTTGGATATGCGTTCAAAACTTTCAGAATAGTTTATCAATTATTTATCATAGTATTAATAACTGAACTCCCATTGCCAATGCAGAGCTTGGATAAGTTTCTAAACTTAGGGATTGTGAATTTTTTGTACATGTTTGTATTGTTTCAACATTAAATAAATTAGACTAATTGGAGATGATTTACTTGCTTTCTAGCATGAAAAAACCCAATTCGCAAATAATTGGACAATTTGAAAGCGTTTTTGATAAATACTAGCAATTTTCTGATTTTCTCATGTAAACCGTGCTTTCACTAAGGTTCATAACCAGTTAACCACATGGTTTCAGCAGAAAACGACTAGGAACATAAGTGAAAACCCGCCAAGTGAGAGCTTAAAAACATTGTTTTGGAAACAGTGAATAAAACAATACTGGACCTAATAGAAGTTCATGTAACAAGCAAGTTGGACGTACACTTTTTGTTCGAGCTCCAATTAATCCCATTTAAATTTAATATATTTGATGCTGCTCTAATTCCCCCTTTAAACAAGACCTGCCTTATGAATGCATAGCTTTACGGTTTATTCATCGTCAGATCCTAATCGATTATTTAATTTATCTTGAAACTTAGCTTGTTTTCATCTGCATTACTATACATTTTTCCATTAGATCTAGATAATACGTTTTCTGCTTTAAACAGCACACATCTTGCACCGACCTAATTTTATCTCCGTTAATAGGTCATTATAAACGAGATTTCATTTACTTTAATGCACCTGTCATCAAGCCAGGCAACAAATTTGCCTTTCCTTAATTACTGGCATAGATTTCCATCTGATTTACCAGCCAGCTCGTCTATTAACGTCAAAGTGGATGGGAAGATTAGCAAACACTGCTATTACCATTGATAATATACCCTAAGCTATCTAAACGTCGTAAAGTCGTCTATTTACATGTTGAAAATTAATGGTTAGTCTTATTTTTGGCGCTCTAGGAAAGTTCAAAATTATCTTTTGAGCTATTGTCCTCGATTTTGTGTATTTTTCTGGGTGCCTTTGAGTCGCAAAACCATATGCCGTTTCGAACGGAATTATAAGTCTTTTGCAATGTCGAACAATCTGGACGTCTCGACACAATATCAACATTAATCAAATGTAGGATTAATAGTGTTTCACTTCAAAGAGTTTTGGCAAGTTTGCATTTTATCAATAATTAAGGACGGTTCCAATAAGATATGTCCATACTGCCCAGATTCGACTAAATAAAAAATATTTGCAATAAGAAATGTTGACGCTCACTTAAAATAACGATTTTAGTAAGAAGAATTACAGAATATATTTGGATTTTGCACAATTTTGGAGGCAAAAGTACAGTCACACATTCATATTGTCAATTTAGTATTCAAAATAGGTTATTACATTCACATAATTTTTATCGTATATATTTTGCTAGACAGTTCCGGTCGAATGGACCCCAGAAAGTGCACTTATGTTACTTAAACCCATAAAAGGCGTAGTAATTCTGTCAATATTCCTGAGATGTCTTGTCTCCGTAATATTTTCAGTCGACGCCTCAATGGCTGCCAACAGCGGTAATGTCCTTACGTTTTACAGTCCTTCCGGCCCTTTCTATTACAGTCGGTCCATTCGTTCCTCATTTATACCCGATTAAATAGACTGTGAACGAAAATCAGAGTCTTATTTTTAAGCCTAATCTCCTCAATATTTTCTCGGGGACAACTCAAATTGTACAGCATTCAAGTAATATTTTGCTATTTCTTCAATAAACAGTTTTACCAAAATTCAGTAAGACTTTTAAAGCCCCAATTTTTTTGCACGTGAGTTAATATTGTTGATGTGCTTGACAGCTTCCACATCTATAGTTTATTGCGCCAGCATAAAAAGCTACCCAAAATTTCACTTCCTAATATATGCAATTTTCAGGGATAACCGAGAACAACATTTCAGGTTACTTTCGGTTATCTGTAGATTTTGGAGATTATGTTTGTGGCCCAGTTTAATATTTTACCTTCTTTTATCCAATGGAGTAGCTGTGTGTAGAGATTTAAATTTCTGTTTATCTTTGACGTGAAGTTGCTGTTATTTTAGCTTCAGTGTTGCAAATTCATGTTTTCAACTTAAATTAAAACAAAAACCCTCGAACAAGAGGTTGGAAGTTGTATTCGAACGAAGCATATTACAAGTGAATTTCTGCTGTATTTCCACTTTCTCTACTTTCGGACTATAGGCCAGGAGAATTACGACGAAATCTTTCAAATATGGCTCTAACGTGACGTAACTTAGATAACTATTGGAATCGCTCGGGAATGGTATACCTATTGAAAATGTCGAGGTGCGCCAGCTTGAAAATGTGTGCTATTTGCATAAACAACAAAAAAGTAAGAAAAATGCGAAAATCGCGTTTTTTTCCCGGAATTCAATCAAATATAACTCGGTAAGTATGCAGATTAAAGAAAAATGTATACTTGTATACTACACTTTTTTTTATATAAAATTTCTTACACGACCGTTTCA